GGATAAATCATCCCAGCCACGTTTGTTACCTTTCAGATGACAGGATGTGTTACCATTTCCAGGTGTCTACACAGAATCCACAGTATCCACAGCATCCAGCTGAAGACTAGGCAACTAGTTTAGACCTGCTGTCTAACTTTTCAAGACTAAAGTTAGGTGAAATCCTTCTTTATGGCATGAGCAATTAGTGACTGAAAAGGAAGGGGAAAACTAAAAAAAAAAAAAAAGGAGGGGGGAGCCAAAAAACACCACCCAGGGAGGGAGGAGGTGCCCATTTTTTTGGGGGGGAGGGACCCCATTCACAACGCGAGGAGCGAGGGAGAATTCAAGGAGTCCGAGGACTGGTCGCTGCTGCTGCTCCGCTGATGCGAGGCTCCGCAGGTGGCTCCCTCTGGGTGGGTGAACACAAACGAAGACGTATAGGATGGGTTAGGTGGCCCTGAGGGGACCCCGGGTGCGAAGCAGCAGCTGGGGAAGGGGCCCTGGGCACTCGGCTGGAACGGACCCGGGGGTAGGAAGGCGACGGTCCCCGCCGGCTCTTCCTTGCCCAGGGTGCTCACCTCGGCGGGGCCGGCACCCAAGGAGCCGACGTCCTCAAAGGGGAGCTTGCAGGCCGGAGCGTGGGCCACCAGGACGAACTCCAGCCGTTCCTTCTCCTTCTGCAGCTCGGCGATCTCCGACTCCAGCTCGGCTTTCTCCTCCTCCAGCTGGTCCGTTTCCTGGGGTGGGAGCAGGGTGGGGTGAGATGGGCTGCAGGGGACACTGCTGTCCCCATCTCCCCCCCAGCCCTGGGGACATCACCCTCCCGTGGCCTCCAGGATGAGCTCGGTCCTCTCTCCAGCGTCCCCGGGTGTCCCTACACCCTCCTCTGGTGTCCCCCCCTCCAGCATCCCTTGGTGTCTATCTGTCCCTCTCTGATGTCCCCTGCTCCCAGGAACAGTGTCACCCCCCTCCAGTGTCCCTGTACTGCCTCCCCCTTTGATATCCCTCACTTCTGGGGACAACATTGTCCCTCTCCAGCACCCTTGGGTACCCATCTGTCCCCTTCTGATGTCCCCTGCTCCCAGGGATGGCACCCCCCTCCTCCTCCAGCATCTGTGTCCCCTTCTCCTAGGGGTGGCATTGTCCCCCTCACATCCCTGGGCATCACTCTGTCCCCTCTGATGTCCTCAGAAGCTGGGGTCATCGCTGTTCCCTCTGGTCATTGACCTGCCCCCTTTGCCATCCCCAGCTGTCAGGAGGGTCCTCTTCACTGACGTCCCTAGTTTTTGGGACATATCCTCATCCTCCAACATTGCTGGGCATCAGTCTGTCCCCTCTGATGTCCCCACCTCCTGGGTCCAGTCTTGGTCCTCTACGATGTCATCATCCTCAGAGACTAGACTGTCCCCCTCCAAGGTCCCCAGCTCCCGAAGGACATTGTCACCTCCCTCC